TAGAAAATTGTCTTATCGAAGCTAAATAGGAATTAAACTAGTAACAGAATGGATTCATTATATTATGAGCAAGAGAGCAAAGTTCTTATTAAGGATGTAATGACTTTGTGTGTGTGTGTGTGGGTGGGTGGGGATATAAAAGTCTCTTCTGAATAGATACATATTCCATTTATTGCTTCTCCTCTAGGTACCAGATGAATAGACTGGTAGATATTTAGAACTTCTGTCAGGTTTTAGTCTATGAGCTAGTTAATCACATGCCTTTAGTTGCCAAAAAAGAGCATTTATCCTGCAGGAAGAATGGTTGAAAGACTATTGTTGCATTATTAATAAAAACAGAGACAACACAGAATCCTTGATGCCTCAGGATGATGAGGTGAAACTCTGTAATGTCCCTTAGGAAACCATTTTATTTTATTTATTTTTTTCAGCTAGTTTTGCATTTCCTTATTTCCACAAGCAACTATAATACTTTCAAGAATGGAATATGAAATGCATACAGCAGCTCTGCAGTGATAAATCATTGGAAGTGTTCTATGTCATATGAATGCATTATCTCATTCAGATATTTCTATTTTATATTACATCTGCATAGGCTTACTCTGCAGCTTTGACTAGTAGTGCACAGAGCATAATTATGCACACAATGTTCTGTGTCATGTAAGTGGAAAAACAGTGCAGGATATAATTTTAGAGGAAACATCAAGTAAGATTAGCATGATTTGTGTGAAAAAAATCATGTCTAATCAATAGCTATAGACAGGAGAACGGATAATGGATTAAATATGAAACTGATAAATACATATACTGACCACCTAACAATGACATGTGTGGAGGTCTTTGAAAATTAATATCAAAACTTGATCTAATGGTACTAGATGATAATGTCATGCTATCTATTTATTTAATTTGCATTTAATGCTATAACGGCCAAGCCTGAGAATAAAGGCCAGCAACTTTGTCCAGTAATATTTAAGAACAGGCAATGGAGCAAGGAAACCTATATGAGAGTGAAATATAAAGAGAGTGGGAGTCCCTAGGCCTCAATGTTTTTGTCCTTCTCGCTCTCTCTTTCAAAAGCCATCTATTTTCCCTGACATGTCTCTCAAATGAAACTGATTATTTTAAACTCTATTGCCTTGCTTTGTATTTACTGTTTAACATTACATAGCATTAATACTGTTCAGAAATATTTACATGGTAAATCTTCATATTGTTACTGTTTTGTTTTCTAATAATAATAGAATGTCGTTCATTAACATTTACAGGCCATAATCATAATGTCTTAGATACTTAGGTAAAAGGTGCACTTTAGGAAAAATATATATCTTGTATTCAGGGTAATCATGTTATATTGAAATGAATCACAAAATTGTTTTTAAATGACATTTTTAAGTCATTTGGGAAACCTAGGGGGCTTTCAGGAAGGGCCTTAAATTTAAACATTTAATTACAATGATACTGGTAATCAAGATATTGAGGCACATCATTCATTGTAGGAACAACATAACTTAGAAAGGGTCCAGTACAATAGGTGAAATTTGGGAGTGTTGTTAGGATGAATACATTAATATCATGGAATATAATATATAATGTACTAGTTTTTCTTTTTTAGAAACTAAATATGTAAAACTTTTATTTACTTCAGATTAAATGTTATGATCTAATTTACTTTTCACTTTTTTGCTGTTTGTTTTGATACTTTAATCTGGTAGGAGAATGAAAAATATTTTTATTCAGTTTCACTAATATAATTTTACTATTTTTTTTCAGAGCATATATTGCAAGAGAATGTCCAAATCCAAATAAAAACCTCTTTTCAATTATTTTAAAAAATAACATTCTTATTAATATTAATTTTCTAATTTTTGAAAGGTTAAACTTTGTCTCTTAACTATTTTGCAGTGTCCTTTTAAATGTCTCGGTTGTCAAAGACAAAGTCTTTGTGTGATCATTTTAAGCTTGCAGGGTAGTCTCAGAGGGGTAGTCGTGTTAGTCTGTAACTTTAAAAACAATTAATAGTCCTGTAGCACCTTAGGGTACATCTACACTACAACGTTAATTCGAACTAACTTAGTTTGAATTAGTTAATTCGAACTAAGCTAATTCGAACTAACGGATCCAGACTAAAAAACTAGTTCGAACTAGCGTTTTCCTAATTCGAACTAGCATGTCCACATTAAGTGGACCCTGAACCAGGCTTAAGGATGGCCGGAAGCAGTGCTGGCATGGCATCAGAGGAGGACCTAGAGCGTGGAGATGCTGTCTCAGGCTAGCCGAGGGCTGTGCTTAAAGGGTCCCGACCCCCACCCCAGACAGACAGTTCTCAGGGGTGTCCCGCTTGCAAAGCAGTCCTGGCTTGAATTGCCCGGAGTACCCACACTGGGCACATCACAGCACTCGGCCATCAGCCCGGCTGCACTTGCCGCAGGCTGCCATCTGGGGAGAGGAGGCAATTGGGGGGCTGCAGGAGAGCTTCCACCCCCAGAAGCCCGCAGAGCCAGCCCAGTCCTCCCCATCGGGGGCGCGTACCCCATTCCTCCCTCACCTCCTTCCACTTACCCTTCCCTAGCCCCTCTTCTTGATGTACAAAATAAAGGACAATTGTGTTCAAAAATGGAATCTGTCTTTATTGAACAAAACTGGGGGAGACTGGGAAAAGGAGGTGGGAGAGGGGAAGAGAGAGGCTGGGAGAGGGGAGGGCAACTAAAGTGATCAGGGGTTGGGAACAGGTCCCATATGAAGAGAGGCTAAAGAGACTGGGACTTTTCCGCTTAGAAAAGAGGAGACGGAGGGGGGACAGGATAGAGGTCTCTAAAAGCAGGGGTTGGGTGGAGAGGGTGCATCCAGAAAAGTTCTTCATGAGTTCCCATAAAGAAGGACTAGAGGACACCAAAGGAAAGGAATGGGTAGCAGGCTTGAAACTAGTAAGAGAAAGTTGTTGTTGACAAAGCAAATAGTCAACCTGCGGAACTCCTTGCTGCAGGAGGCTGTGAAGGCTAGAACTAGAACAGAGTTGAAAGGGAAGTGAGATCAAGTCATGGAGGTTGGGTCCATGGAGTGGTATTAGCCAGGGGGTACGAGTGGTGTCCCTGCCCAAGGTTTGTGGAAGGCTGGAGAGGGATGGCACGAGACAAATGGTTTGGTCATTGTTTCGGTCCATCCCCTCCAGGGTCCCTAGTGTTGGCCGCTGTCGGCAGACAGGCTACTGGGCTAGATGGACCTTTGGTCTGACCCAGGACGGCCATTGTAAGCTCAGGGCTCAGAGTC